GACCGTCAGTTGTACTGTCTCAACATTGCTGGAGGCCACCAGAGACCACCACGCCTGCCGCTACTCCGTTGCCAGATAACCACACGTCCCGCTACTGCAGGAACCTGGTTCTTATGGGTGACTTCAACTACTCAGACATTTGTTGGAAGAACAATACAGCATCTCACGTCATCCATCAAGTTCCTGGAATGTGTAGAGGACTGCTTCCTCATACAAATATAAGATGTGCCAACCAGGAATGAGGCACTGCTGGACTTGCTACTCAAAAGCAGGTTTGCTTGGTTTGTAGTATCATCTCGGTTAATGACACCCTTGGCTGCAGCGATCACAATATTGTGGAGTTAGTTTGGGATCCTGCTGAGCATGCTGAAGGTCAGTACTAAGACTAAAGTTTTACATTTTAGAAGAACAAACTTCAGCTCAGAGGATAAAGGAGCTAGCAAGTGTTGGGAGTTGTTCAAGAATGCTCTCCTGGAAGCACAAAAACCAGTTCACCCCCTTTAAAGGTAAAAGGGAAGCAGGCGGAGCAAGAGCCCCCTTGGCTTAACTGGGAGCTTCTGAGTCTGCTCAAAACCAAAAGACAAGCATACCAGAGATGGAAAAGCGGACAAATACCTGTTGAGAACTACAAGGGCATTGCCAGGGCATGCAGACATGCAGTTAGAAAAGCAAAAGCCAAGCTTGAATTGAAACTGGCCAGCGATGTCAAAAACTACAAGAAAGGGTTCTTCAGATATGTAAACAACAAGCAGAAACAGAAGGAAAATACTGGCCCACTGTTAAACAGGAGAGGTGAATTAGTCACCAACAATGCCAAAAAGGCAGAGGTTCTTAAAACTTTCTTCACCTCTGTCTTTACCAGCACTGTTGGGCCCCAGGCCTTGGGAACAAAAATCTAGGTTGATGCAAACACAGGCCCACCGTCAGTGAAGGAAGAGTTGATATGGGAACTGTTGCAGGAGCTTGACCCTACAAATTGATGGGCCCTGACTACATCCATCTGAGGGTGTTCAAGAGAGCCAGCACAGATTCACCAAGGGCAAATCGTGCTTGACAAACCCGATCACCTACAACAAAGTAACCTGCTCAGTTCATGTGGGGCGAGAGGGGTACATTGTCTACCTGGATTTCTCCAAGTCTTTCAATACGGTTTCCCACAGCCTCCTCCTAGAGAAACTGATGCGTTACAGTGTGGGCAAGTGGTCCATGTGGTGGGTGGGGAACTGGCTGAGGGGCTGCACCCAGAGGGTAGTGGTAAATAGCTCCTTTTCAAACTGGCAACCTGTCACAAGTGGGGTCCCCCAGGGATTGATATTGGGCCCAACACTTTAATATCTTCATAAGTGATCTGGATGATGAGATCAAGTGTACTCTGATGAAGTCTGCTGATGACACCAAACTGAGTGGGAAGTGGACACTTCAGAAGGGAGAGCCACTCTTTAGGAAGACCTGGATAGGCTGGAAGAGAGGGCTAACAAGAACCTTATGAAGTTCAACAAAGACAGACAAATGTAAGGTCTAGCACCTGGGAAAACATAACCCAGGAGTGCAGGACAGGCTAGGATCTACCCAGCTGGGGAGCAGCTCTGTGGAAAGGGACCTGGGGGTCCCTCACAACAAGCTCAATATGAGTGAACATTGTGCTGCTGCAGCAAAGCAAGCCAACAGTGTCCTGGGTTGCATCAACAAGGGCATCACCAGCAGAGATAAAGTTGTTATCCCACTCTATTCCATGCTTGTCTGGCCACATCTGGAATACTGTGTTCAGTTTTGGTCCCCACTATACAACAAAGCTGTGGACAGGCTAGAGAGGGTCCAGAGAAGGGCAACAAAGATGATCAAAGGACTGGGAAGCCTGCCATATGAGGAAAGGCTGAGAACTGGGTTTCTTCAGCCTTGAGAGAAGGCAGCTTAGGGGAGACCTTATGTTCCAGTATTTAAAGGGTGGCCGCTACAACGAAGATGGAAACTCCCTTTTTACAAGGAGTCACATGGAAAAGACAAGGGGTAATGTGTACAAGTTACTCCTGAGGAGATTCCAACTGGACACAAGAAGACAATTTTTCACAGTGAGAACCATCAGCCATTGGACTAACCTCCCCAGGGAAGTGGTGGATTTCCCAACGTTGGACACTTTTAAGATTTGGCTGGACAGGGTGCTGGGCCATCTTGTCCAGACTGTGCTTTTTCTAAGAAAGGGTGGACTAGATAAACCTTAAGGTCCCTCCCAACCTGGTATTCTATGATTCTATGAGTCTCGGTGTGAAGGCAAGCGCTTCATTTAGGAAAAAGGTTAAAAGGAAGCTTACTGAGAAAAATTTTCAATGCTAAAGCTCTGGCTCGTCAACAATACCACACTAATGTCTGGTTTGTTCATTTTCTGTTAAACTTATAAGTTGATATTAAGAAGAGTAAGACCTAGAAAAGACACTGTAATAGTAATATGAATACAAATTGTATAAACTCTTCCTTTGAACAGTTCAAATATTACTTTGCTTATTTACTGATTTGAACCAGGTTTCGGTAGCACTCCTATAATCCAGGATGTATTTGCTTCCCTTTCACAGGGCACAGCACACAGACCGGAAACTAGAAATAAGCTCTTTCTGCATCTCTAAGTTCTCAACCTACAGTAGATTCCTAGTTTTGAACATTGCTGTTGCTTCCTGGCACAAACACTTTCTTTAATCTAAAGACATTTGAGGACTTGCTGCAATACTTTTACCTTGGATCTATTAACCAAGTATTTTTAATAGATATTGTATAATACAAAATAGGGTAACAGAAAATAATTAGTTTTTTCTCCAGTGGCACCTTTTAATATTTTGCATAACATATACAATCCACCAGTTTGGTATTAAAAATATAATGATATGCTAATAATTCAAAGTGATACTTTAAAGAGATCTTTGAAAAGCAGTGAATATATTTTCTGGACCCTCTTTGTTTTACAAACCAATATATATCTCAAAAAAGAGCTTTCCTTGAAAGTATTATTATGCAGGAATGAGAAATGTTGTAAAACATATTTTACAAAAATATACAACACTCTAGAAAATGGCATGAAACCTTTCAGATCTTTAAAATATCTCCAGCAAATTACATTCTAAAAATTATATACTAATAATTTAAGTAATCTCAAGGAAATAGTATTTAAAGAGCTATTTCTTTTTTAAAGCCTATAGAAGTAATCCAATTTTAAAAAGAACAGGATGCTACAGATAAAATGAACAAGAAACCAGTGCATAAATTATCCACTTTTTATACTGCGTAACAGAAATTTCCCACACAGATAATCATAGTTAAAGAGAACTAAGGTTTCTTAAAGAACCTTTAACTTCTGGCTTAAAAAAAGTTTTCCAATGCACACTTCAGGCATGAAATTCCAAGGCAGATCGATGCAGAGTAAAGCATCAGGATGGAAGCTTAACTAAAAAAAAAAAAAGGCAAAGAAAAAAAAAAGCAGCAAGCAGTTGAATAATATTTTTTTTTCTCTGATATGGAATATCAGTTGTTTCCTTGTTATGCATTGAATTTATAGTAATGGTGCATATACATCTACCAAGTCAATTGCAAGTCCATCTACATGGTATAAAAACACCAACTTAAAGATCTATGTTCAAATATGTTCAACTTGCTGGCTGATATCCTTAAGTAATTATGTCAGAGAACAAGCATAACAAAACAGATACTGCAGTGAAATGGGATAGCTAAAGAGAACTGACATTAGGATTTACTGATTATTGCTATTAGGTTACGCCGCAAATACTTAGTTGGTACTTTGTACAGAGAAAATGCCCACAACGGACCTTTTAAAATCTGTATGTGACATGTTAAAACTGTTCAAAATGCATAAAGGTAATATAACAAAAAATATAAAAAGCTGTAAAAAAATTTATATGTCTCATATTACTAAGACTTGAAAATTATCAGCAAAGCATGATTTTAAATACTTGCTCTTACAGTAAGACATTTTAAATAACCAACGCCTGAGGACAATGACAGTACATACCAAATACGCTTCATTTTTCTTATTATTTGCTGCTATGGAAATATTATGCAACTCGTCATGGATTCACCCACTTAGTGTAAATTACTCTTTATAATTTCAAGCATTTAGACTGAAAGACTGCATTAAGCTGTTCTTATATGAATTTGTGGTCATATTCAATCTATTTTGAAACCAGCACAGTCTAAACAACAGAGTATGCATTTAAGGCACTGGATTTCAGTTTACGAAATAAATTCCCTATTTTCAAATATGTGTATTGCAAGAACTTTTCACTGCAATTTTTGTGGGATCAAAATGTCAGTAGCCCATTAAAGCAATGGTTTTGTGAGTACATATTTAGAAAATTACAGTAGACACCACTGACCATCAAAATTACTCATGTATCTTATTATTTTATTTTCAATTCTAAACAGGATGATGATAATCAAAACTGAGTGGAAACAACTTTCAGGTACTGACTTTCTGATGCAATGTATGCTGGCTGGAAAATCATCTTAACCAAAAAAAGTAATGGAAATTTATGACATACTATTTAAGTGAGCCTAAGAATCAAAAATTATTTTTTTTAAATTAGTAAGAGTGCAGCAATCCTGCATAATAAAAGTAACATTCCTTGCTTTACTGAGCTTCTAAGTTGACTTAGATTTGTGTGGTCTAAATTACATAAGTCATTTTTTTATGTCTTATCTTAGCTACACTGAGATTTTTTTCTTGTGACCACAGCATTTCTCCAGGGACAAAACTACGGACATATAACCAAAATTCTTTATATTTAAATATACTACCTTAATGCATGTAATATGCACAAAACAGTTTTCATGTACATATCTGATGTGTGTGTCCTCCCCCAGACTGACACAATATATCTTTGAAGAGCTGAACATATCGTTCTTTGTATTCTAAAATCCTGGGCAAACTGTCTTTTAGCAAAGGAAAGAAAAATCAAAGAAATTAGGAAAGCTATTCTACACTGGTTAAAAAAAAAAAAAAAAAAAATCAAGTACCTGTGCATTTCTCCTCTGCTTTTGTATTTCACTTAAAACATTTTAAATAACACTACAAGTTATAAAATATTTGACTTCACATTAAAGAATGTTACAAATAGTGTCCAATGTAACATTCGTAACTCCATTCACTTGCAGAAGACTATTGAGCTGTCACCATTGCTGTTTACAGGCTGTGCTAAAGTTCATCGTGCTTAAGACCTGTAACCAAAGGAAAAAAAAAATAAACCCCAGTTATATAAAGACTTAATGACTAGTATTGTAAAATGTGGAAAAAGCCCTTTACTTTCTATTTACTGCTAGTCAGTCAGTTCAGCAACATGAACTTCATTTTTAGTGCCTTGCTAAAAGTTGACTATAAGCTTTCACAAAGAATAAAAACTACTAAGAATTCTTTGTAACAAAAAGTGAATTTGTTCTCTGACTCAAGACTCTTAAATATTTATCTGCTAACGTTTTTCTTCAACCTTGAGAGTTGAGATCAAAATTTTTTTTTGTTTCACATTACTCCAAGAAGTCAAGTCTTACTGGAAGTCCTGTAAGTGTTTTTCTTCTTGTGCTATTTAACTAACTCAGTTTAAAACTATTTTAGTAAAAAAAAAAAAAAATCAAAATCTATTTGTGAACTAAACCACCATGTAGTCTGGTGCAAAAAGGCCTCTGGGCGTAGATAACCCAGAGTGAAAGATGTGGAGATAAATTAATAGAGACTTAGTTACTTAATGCTTCATAGACATTAGCTTTAGATTCTCTAAGTGAGGTCTAAACTAATGTGTTTATTTAATATTTGTGGCTCAAATGATGTGGAAGAGTTGGTTGTATTGGAGGTCCAAGAATAGGACACCACTAAGTTTTCTCTTAGATTCTGGTATGACAAAAAAGATTTTATCCACTTAGTGTAACTCTTAACGTAAAGAAGCATCACGCTATTAAAACCCACACAATTTCTCTAAGAGCAGGGAAAATTACACAAATACAATATTTGTGCCTACTGACCCCAATTTTAATTTCAACAATATTATTTTTTAAAAGCTAACAGATGAATATGCATGTAAATTACCTTTTTGAAAGAACGACGTTAGATTTTTCTTCTCTCTTTCAATTTGTTGTATTAACTTTCGTATCTCAGAGTCATAGTCAACCCATTCAGGAACTATCCGGGCAGCAGCCTTTAATTTTGGTTCTTTGGTTTGGGGATTGTTGCACTGAAAGTTTAAAACATACTAGATGTAAACATAGCAAATGTGAAAATATCACCTTTCCAAGGAATTTATAATAATTTTGTCAGCATTTACAATTTCATTGAAGGACAGCGGGCAACGTCAGTTACCTTGATATTAATTTAAAAAAAAAAAAAAAATCACAGAAAACAAATAGTAAATAAACCCTGTTTAAATAACTCAAAACATTTTATTGTAAGTACTTTTATTTTTCCATGTTCTCCTGACTATATGGACAGCAGAGACATGGCGAGCACAAGACTACTAAGGTGTAGAAAGTTACACAGGGAGATACAAGATATACATTAGCATATTGAAATTGAATCTGTTATGTTTTTTAAGTTTGTGATGCTTCCCCTAGTGTTGTCTAGAAAATTTATTGATTACTTCCATAAAATAATATAAATGGAAATCATAATAAAAAGGGATACATGATAATAAGGATTGAAAGAAAGTCTAGCAACTTAATGTCAATCTTTCTTGAATAGAGATCACCCATCTTTAGTGCACAAAAAAGCTTTTTTTAACAACTGTAAAGACACAAAGAAAACAAAACTATTTACATACTGAATATTTGCACCAACTTCCAACTGTCTGTTTTTCTTCAGAATTATGTCTCTGGAGTATCACTTACAACGCGTAGGGGTTGTTAAAAAATAAGAATGGGGTTAAAAATGGGATGGGGCTTATAATGACAGAGAAGATTTTCTTTCTGTTTCAATTCCAAAGCAAGACACTTTCTTCTTTCTAAATATGGATAGTCTCCTCAGTGTTACACTGTTTAAGCTCTGCGTTATCTCCTGTTTAAAGTGGTGAAATGGACAAAGAAAACCATGATAATATTAAGTCCTCTACACAGTGGGTCCTGGAGTAACCTTTGTAGGGAATAGCAGCACACAGTACCCAGACTATTAACAGTACTTCATCAGAGTTCCACTAACCTGGCTGAATAAAAAAAAATAAGGAAAACACAGAAACAGGTATGAAAAACCCCAATCCTATCCAGTTACAGATAGCAACATTTAATTTTTGGGTACAGTTTTCAGCTTTAACATAAGTAAATTTGGTACAGAGTAAGCGGGAGAGGTCTCAGAGGAAAGGAGAAAAGTTGCTGTATTTTAGGGGAAGGGGCATATTGTTCCAGTGCCTTCCAGCAAGGCTGCCTCCAAGACATCACATATGCCTGTCTCAAAAGCCACAGAAATTACAGCAAAGTTTTTAATCTATAAAACTAATATAACTCAAAATCAACTCACCAAGTCTATTGTTTTAGCCTTTTTCTTGGACTCATCATCACACCAGGTTTCACACCAAAGCCATTCCTGAGGGAGAGACTTAATAGCTACTTGATGAATCATATTATTGGGAAGATCCTGTACAAATTTTGTAAAATCATAAATTAGCATTGAATTTAATGTAACTGGTTATCAAGCAACTACTTAAAAGTAGAATATCTTTGCCTATTACCATTTCTGCAAATTGTTTTTACGTTTCCTTCTTCTTACATTTCCTTCTAAGTGCTCACCTAGTTCTTTTACAAGTAGATTCAAAATTTAGTCACGGTCACTTTGATGTCCAATTCCACCTCTCATTTCTCAAGCAATTTCCTCTTGTACTTCCATGTGTCCTTCCTTAGTCTGACATAAGCAATACTGCTGTCCAATACTTGTGGTTCAGATACTGCATGTCATACTATAAATACTACTGAATTATACTGTGTGAAATTATTAAAGCAAAACTTACCATCTTTCCATTCCTCAAATTTGAAGAAAAAGCTCTAAAGCATATAATCCAAGATTACGCCACTACTCTAAATTTAGACTTCTAGGAAAATGGATTCCAGAAACATAAGTGTGAAAATGAAAAGCTCTTAAATTGCTATTCTGGCTATCTTCCCTACTTCACTTGAAATTTCTTTCTTTCTTTTTTTTTTTTTTTTAACTTTTATTATATAGTCAAGTACACTCATAATGAAAACTCTGAACCAATATCTTGCTGAATGTAGGGAATAGCATTTACAAATGAGAAAAAACTCTGGCGGTCATATGCTGCACATACTCTGGCCACAGTTAAAAATAACGGGTGTAATTGGTAGATTCATTCGTAAGCTCCTTCACATGTGCAACCTCTACATGATTTAAAAATAACTGTCAGTAGGCAAATAAGTATGTCGCATCTTATTTTGCAGATTCACGCTGCTAAATGTGACAGAATAAAATAGCATATATAGCTGTGTTATGAAAGGCAAATAATTTAATTCAAATATAGACATTAGTACAGGAAAATTACATCAAATATAAGTATACTGAGAGGCAACACATTAGACTAATTTGAATGCTTTTTTTAAAAGAAAACTTCAATTCTATGAAGTTTTGGAAGATAAATGGTTTATCACCATCTCAACTTCAAGAGAAAAGAGACTCGTTTTCTGTTCTCTGACTTTCTAAATGAAATCACAATTGCTACAGTAACTCTCAAAGTTGTGAAGTAAAAATTGTTATATGGGGTAGAAAGTAGAAAGACAGCTGCTAGTTCCAAGATTTAAAGTAAGCTGAAGAATATAAAAAAAAATTCTAAATAAAAAGTTTAGAAGTTTCAGAAGAAAGTGATTTACCCTCAAAAACACTAAAATACGTCTAGAAGATCAAAGAGGAAATATTCATGAATCAGAAAAATAAGTGAACAAGGGTAAGAACAGATTGTTTTTACTGTCAGTGCCAAAATTCTTGCTCATTCAAAATATGTAAACTTCTAGATTTACAAAATATGTAAAGTCTCTCAGACTTTCACAAACAACATTTAAAAGTTGTTCTTCATTTTGATTTACAATTATGACTGTTTTCACATTTAGTCAGATAACCTACATAATTTTAAAAGGGACTCCTCTAGAGCAGCATCTTTATTAGCAAATAAAACCTCGATTAAAATATATAAAAACATTGCCTCTTAATAAAAGAATTAGTCTTACATTCCTCTCTGCTGATTTTTATTCTTTAAGAACAAGATGGTTAATTATTTTTTAATGAATTGTTATTAGTATAAATATTTGTCAAGTATTTGCTTTGTCATCTATACATAGACCTTTCCATGCTTCTCTTTAAAAAGTACAATGAAATATGCTGTACTGGAAGTCTAGTTTTTATCTTGTGTAAATTTTCTCCCTATGAGTTCTTTACTTACTTACACATTTAAAATTACTTTTTTCCCTTGCATCTACTTCTATTTTGTGGTTTATATTAGCATAACCTTAACTATCATCCATGAAGGCAGCAGTGCTGGCAGATTAGCAAAGAGCTGAGATTGCTTCTTTGAGAACGGCAGTGAGCACTCCAGTCAGATATTTAAAATAAAAATAAAAATTAAAAAAATGTATCGTAATGCATCCTTATCAGTAGATAAAAGCTCTCCAGGACTCTTGTAAAATACATTGCAACGTGGTTTATATTTCTAGGAATGTTGCTGTATTTGGTGTAAGTAGTAGCAATGAAGACAGAAGGTGATTCCTATCAATACAGTCAGAAAGTAGATTACTACAAAAATACTACTTTGAAATATTTCCCTTTCCAAAGTAATTCCAATTCCATTCTGCCAGGACTTTGTTACCTTAACGTCTACTCTCAGCACTGACGTGCTGAGGGAAGGGCAGCTGACCCTGAAGTGGCTTTCAATTTGATCCAACAGACTTGTAAGAGATACATGCTATTATGTATTAATACTGTAACTGAAAATATAAGAATCTTAAAATAGAAAGATATACATTATTAATATTTTGAGAACATTAGATAAAATTAATTACTATTTCTGAAAAGCAGCATTATGGTGGAAGCCCTGTAACCAGCTTCTAAATCTTTAAGGTCTTTCTGAAAGACACTTTGTACGTATGGGTAAGACTATGTTTGAAAAATATACAGCTATATCACATCAGGACTCTCTAAGTGTGCGATACAGGGCCAGTAATTCATTCTGTTGTCCAGAAAAGAGAGGTAAAATCTGACTGTTGCTGTTATGTCAGTCTGTTGCTCTAAACAGTTACAGCTTAGGGCTGCTCCAACCCCCTGTGTCCAGTCTAGTTTGAGTTTGTAGTGTAGCTGTATTTCCACTTTTCTTTGTTCAGTCTTGTAAGACCTGCTATTTTCATTTTTTAGTTTTATTTCTGAAAAAAATGCAAGTGGTAATAATATATGAGAGAGAGAAACTCGCTTGCAGAGTAAGGCAGTGGAATGCAGGCACTGAGAGACGTGGGCTTTGCTACTGTGGGATCCCTTTACTGCTACAGGCAGGTAAAAAACTTTTGCGTGTTAGTAATTCCACAAGGAAAATTACAAAAGCAGGGACAATCTCACTTACAAAGCCTTCTAAAGTTCACTCAAAGAGAGATACAAATAAAAAGTTTTATTTACTCAGGCAGAAATCAGATGAGTTGTATTATCAATCTTCTACTGAGTTAAAGAACCTCTACTACAGAAGAAAATAATAAATTTAAGCACATTCCATACATCTGAGATCTACTTACATGCTTATGACTTGTACCTTGACTTACCCTACCTACCTCTAAAAATTGGTGGAGTTATATAAATGAAGACTGCAGTCACCCCACCCATATACAGCAACCACTGGAGTGAATTAGCAGTTAGTTTACAAAAAATTAAATTTACATTAATGGGAAAAAAGAAGAAAGAGAAAAAAGCTCTTGCTAAAGAAGAATATAATTACCATTATCAGAATTAGGATTATCATTAGAAAAACACAAGTGCACATAGAACAACTACAAATAAAGGACAGCAGTCCTCTATGCTGTTTTTTCCTCCTTTTTTTCATATTAAACAATTATCGAAAGTAATCAACATTTAGTGTTCAGTTTTCTGAACTATGCTCATATGCACACCTGAAAATGTGCTAAAACAGCAAAGGGCAAACAGTTCCAGAATTATGTAACATATAAATTGAGATACAAAATAATTCCATGCATATTGAAAAAGATAAATAAAATTAAACCCAAATTGTTTAAAGCCATATATACCTGATCCAGATTTGAGAGACTGTTTGGATCTTGACTAAGAGCCTGGTACTGGCCCCGAAGCCTATCTCCAGCTGCAATCTTTCTGAACTTCTTAAGATCCACAACATATAAGGCACTACAAAGATAAAAAAAAAAAAAAAGGTTTGTGGAGTTTCACCTTTTTTATGATAACATTAATAAAAGTAACAAGAAACCAAAAACTGTTCCCATTCTAAAGGAGTCATTTTTAAATTAAATGGCTGAAGCTACAATAAAAAAGTGAAATCAATTATGTCATCAGAATTCATGCCTTATTCATCTCTTACTGAGAACGACTATAGGGTAACTGCTTTTGAATGCCTCAGTGATCAATACCAAGATCCAGATTTTAATCAAATTCACAAACTGCACAAAAATATGTAAGGAGTTATCTTACCTAATATGGTATTTCCTTTTCCCAAGATGTGATGCCCAGTATCCCGATTTCCAGAAACGGTATCCATCCATTTCTTTACGGCTGTCACAGAAAGGTGTGTACCCATAGGGAGCTCCATTTAGATCTAGATCTCTGAGTTCTTTTAGGTCAGTTCTCACAATCTAAATAAAAATATATCTATTTTTATAATTTAATGCTGTTTTTAAGGCGTGCATATGAGGGTAGTTATTGCAGCAAGCTTCCCAAAATGTAATTTTAATTAAAAAAAAATAAATAGAGACACTATGACAGTGGAGTATAGATAAAGTATTCCACAGGAATGATATTTACCAAATTATTGATCAAGAAAAAAAAAGTGTTTATTCTGTGGCCATCTCTGTAACACATTTCATAAGTAAATTAAATAAAACAAGTAATGTATTTTTAATTCATAGACCAGTGTTTCTGGTTGCCCAATATTAAATTCCTTCATGCAGGAGTATAACTTTCAAAATCTACTGAGCATCTCCCTTCTAAAAAATCTTCCCTATTTGTTGCACAAGTTGGGCACTCCAAAATTATTGCAACATTTGAAAAATCTTTGAATCTAGTAGTAAAGTACTTTTAAAAATAGGTTATAAGGACATTTTACAAATGTCCTTTATTTACTAATCAATCCTTCTTCCATCAAACCCCACTAATCTAATTTATTAATGGTAAAAAAAAGTTAGGTGTTTCGGAGTACAGAGAAATCCTTACGGTAGTTAGGACAGACAACCAGTATTACTACTGTATCGAGATGAAATTGCAGAAAGTTGCAGTCTGGATCACTACATCTAAATTTAATTTATTCTCAAGCTTTGGAAAAGGACCAAAATACGTAATATTTGATCTGAGATTTTTAATAACCATGTCATAGACTCTTCAATGTCTCATCTGTTTGAGACAGCATGTTACCTTTCAGTATATTATACAATATTCATTTCTGAGTGAAAGACTGCATACAAATTTAAGAAAAACAGAGACAGGATTAATCTTGAAAAATTTCAGCCATCCAGAAGTTGTTCAAATGGTCTAAACTAATCACCTCAAACTCCTTCCATAGTGGAGAAATCCTCTCACAATCAGCCCAGAGACAGAATCACTCAAATATGCCTTAGGTGAAATGCACCTTGTCCTGGTTTCAGCTGGGATAGGATTAATTTTCTTCCTAGTAGCTGGTACAGTGCTGTGTTTTAGGATTTAGTATGCGAATAATGTTGATAGCAAGAACTAAACATCAGTGTGTTAGGTAGTGCTTACTCTAAGTCAAGGACTTTTCAGTTTCCCATGCTCTGCCAGTGAGGAGGTGCACAAGAAGCTGGCAGGGAGCATACCATAGAACGTCATGCTCAGTATATAAACTGAGGGGAGTTGGCTGGGAGGGGCCGATCACTGCTCAGGGACTGGCTGGGCATTGGTCAGCGGGTGGTGAGCAATCGTATTGTACATCACTTGTCTTCCTTGGGATTTATTTCTCTCTCTCTTTCTGTTGTCTACCTTTTCATTACAATTATTATTAGTAGTAGTGTATTTTATTTCAAGTATTAAACTGTTCTTATCTCAACCCATGGGTTGTATCTTTTTTTCCGATTCTCCTCCCCATCCCACCGCAGAGGGTGGGGAGTGAGCAAGCGGCTGCATGGTACCTAGTTGCCGGCTGAGGTTAAACCACAACACAGCTTTAAGATCATACGTACCCCTCCAGGTGCCTTTCTCTCTCCGCAGGCAATTTAGGGCAATTCAGTGTGGTGAGACTGTTAATTTCTACATGACTAAAGACAATTGAAATTATTGCATTTCATGTTATGCACCAGTACTCGTTCTGCTCATACAACCGCAATAGTCTTACGAGATCAACATCTGAACAAAATGGCCACAGAGAATGAAACTGGATCAACGCAAGCCAAAATGAATTCATCATACGTCTATACAGCATTATTTTTTCTTACCTGGTCAGCATCGACAAATATTATTTTATCCACAGCCAAAGGGAAAAGAACATCCAAAAAAAGAATTTTGTAGCCCCAGATAATTCTTTGTTTTTCTGTCTGTTGATAAAGCCAGCGGGGCCACTTATACTGTACTAACTCATACTCGAAACCATACTTTTTAGCCATGTGAGGAATAACGTCCTAGAAGAAGAATCAAAAAAATATTAGTTGCACATGTATGCAACACATAAGGACTCAAAAGGAGAAAGAGGGAATGTTGCAACACAGTTGCAGCTGTGTTGGCCTTACTGACTACGTAATTTATTATTTTAAAATGTTTCTTTAGTTCTAGCGGCATCCCCAGTTACACAAATACAAAAAGCATTTCTTTCAAGCTCTTGGAGACTATCAGAAGAGAATAAATTACTGTAATACATCACTGGGCTTTGGGTTCCAGAAAAGAACCACCTTACACATGAGACTTTTAAAACTATTGGTATTTAATGCATTCAGAGATCATTTCCAATTTTGAAAATTTAATTTGAACTACATAATTACTCAATCGTAATTTAAAAAAAAACTCCACTACTTAAAATTTCAAAGAAAAAATTAAAAAAGGAAGATGTTTCTCCTACCTTAAATATTGGGGAGAGATAGTTTTTCAGAAACCAAAATTTAACTGGTGTTTTTGTATGACGTAGGACAGAAAGCATCATAATTCTGTGGAAATACAAGTCTATAATAAACAAACAAATACACACAGGTCATTAAATTTCAACTGCACATAAAAGGTGCTCAAACTTTCTAAGCATAATTTCTTTAACCTAGTTGAGGCAGAAATTTCTGTCTATTTCTAATTAAAAGATTTAAAGAGCATGTATTCAAGACTGCTCTGAGATGGACTTATTTGATCCAGACTGGCTAAGCAATATTAGAAGGAACAATTTCAAGAGTGGATCTCTTAACAAATTTTATTCTATTCATTATCATAAACAGATTCAGCTCTAATGAAGTCACTTTGTTATGTCTTTATAAAGAGAAGCTGAACTTCATCTTTCATGTTCACACTTTGCACGTGCACCCATGAAAGACATGGAGAACATTTTTTTTTCTTCAAAGAATAATAGTATTTCTGAACATCTATATACTGAAACACTTTGTTCTCAAAGATGAATTTAGCCCTCACTGTATACAACTTTTCTATGCTTTGACAATTTATTCTTTACACCTTGTTAAAAAGGTCAGTTTCTTTAAGCTGCTTAGTTTTAGGATGAACGTTTATAGTATTGCTATGAAATTCTCGTTTCCCTTTTACTTTTCCTTACCTTAAAAAACGTTCATATAAATGGCCTGAAGCAACGGAAAAAATGTTAAGAGTATCGCTTTTCTTTTCCTCCTTTTTTGTTGGAATTTCTTCTGAAAATCTAAGGAAAAAACCCCCCAAATTATTACATAAAGTAAACATTCAGCAGAAAGAAAATACTACTACATTAACATTAAGCTCGTAAAGAATCAAAGGTAAGAAAATACACAAAATAAATACTCGTCCTGCAGTAACTGAATACACTTACATTCTATTCCCACTGCACATGCCTATGATAACAAAATCTTTTGGGAGCAACACCTCATACCCAGTCACTCAGGACAAAGGATGGCACAACTGCAGTCTCCAATATTTTCAATCAAACAGAACCCAAATTTGGCAAGAACTCCACGTTTTACCAAAGCAAAAAATCAGAAAGACACACAGCCAGAGCATCATGAGAACCGGTTATTTTTAAAATCAGCAACAGTTATTTTTCAAGCTTCATCCATGTGCATTCTACATCAGAAGAACCAATGCATATTCTAGAGGTGAGGGATGTCTGCATAGCCCCATAGGTGGCTGAGGTGAATATATACTCTATAACACAGCCTTATGAGGAGCAGCTGAGGGAACTGGGGTTGTTTAGCCTGGAAAAAAGGAGGCTGAGGGGAGACCTGATCACTCTCTACAACTACCTGAAAGGAGGCTGTAGTTAGGTGAGGGTCGGTCTCTTCTCCCAAGTAACAAGCAATAGGACAAGAGGAAATGGCCTCAAGTTGCACCAGTGGAGGTTTAGATTGCATATTGGGAAAAATTTCTTTACTGAAAGGGTTGTCAAGCACTGGAACAGGCTGCCCAGGGACGTGGTGGAGTCATCATCCCTGGAGGCATTTAAAAGACACGTAGATGTGGCACTTAGGCACATGGTTTAGTGGTGGACTTGGCAGTATTAGGTTAAAGGTTGGACTTGATGATCTTAAAGGCCTTTTCCAACCTAAATAATTCTATGACTCCGTGATTCTAAAGATGGCCACACCAGCCCAAACCACATATTTAGCCCAGCATCTCACCAGCAGCAAATAACAAGGCTAGGAGTAGTGGCCTTTCCCAGAATACTACTCTCATAACATTCAGTGGTCTGTGGTGATCGGATTTCTCGAGTGTTTTTCATAATACTTGCTGAATTCTTCCTTAAATTAATCCAATTACTCTCCCTATGAGGTACCCTATATCCTTAAGGTATGTTGTCCAGAGGTTTTATGTTTCTGCTGCATGGCATTCATTGCTTGCTTTGAATACCAAAGTCTACCAGGATTGTCTTTTAATCACGTATGCCTTGCAGCACACACAGCTAGGGAATGGTGGCTGTAGTCTCCTTCAGAGCACTGCTTCACAGATTTCGGAACTGCAAAAGTTGCCTTAGCCAAACTGGTTACAGTATGGCTTGCTATTGTTGGAGATCACCTCAACAGTCTTTTTTTGGGGTGTGTCATTCCTCACACACTTCGATTGTGTGAGTCACTCCTATTAATTTTTCTTCTGGTTAGATCCCTTTTAAAAGTATACTTTAAAAAGTATAAAAATAAGTATCCCTCATAATTTTTAAGAACAAATGAGACAAGTCTCAGATCTCCAACATATTTAAAAGAATTCACATCACTCCACTAATATAAGGTTGAAATCTCAGAAGGCTGCAACGTGTGTAAGTGATGTGAATCATCTTTTGAGAAACCCACGTTCTTTTCACTCAGCAATGGTAACAGCAGATAGCACAGTTGTACCGATCAGGACTATAGCAAACACAAAAGAAAGGGACATCAGCGGAGCAGCACTGACTGCATGGTGTGGCATCTCCAAAGACAACAACACTCCAACTAGCACTGACCTCTCACGTGATAAATAGACTGCAGTTCACAGTCCCAAGCAGTCTGTCTTCTTTATTTCCAACTTTTTGTCCCGTTTCTTATATTTAGTGATAGCAGGACTGAAAGAATGTCAAGCTCTTTATAATGCAACCATCACCACATGTGACTATAAAGACAGACGTGAAAAAAGAAAATCAGGTTTTGATGTAAGGATCTTGAAAATATTGATTACGCAAAGCTTTACAGAAGGCAGAGATCTTCTAAACTGAACAAGCTGCTCTGAAGATTGCTGGATTAACCTGTAAGGTCACATGGGAAAAGCAGTCAATTGCAGAAGGGCAGTTCAGTTATGAAAGGACTTGGGCAATGTGGTATGCACACATGTCCCACGTCAGAGCACATGTGGATTCCTGTAACGAACAGTGTGCTGACAGGATATACTTATCATTCCAGGATATCAAAGAGGAAGGATAGTTGACAAGTTCCTAGATAGCAAGAGGCTGACAGACAAACAGCAGGCCTCAAATCATGCCCTTGAGCCATAACTTTGAATCAACGGGAAGAGCAAATAAATTTTATTGGGTGAGGAGCTTCAACAGCCCAGCCAGGCTCTGAGCCTGATGCACACTGATGAACAAACCCACTGTGAAAAAAGGCTAGACGTAGAAGATCGTGAGATTTCTGGCCTTGTAACCTTAAGAGGGAGCTAAGATTTTGACCACTGCACATACATCCTTTGATGCAGCTAATTAGATGTGGGAAGCTTGAAGACGATGAACAATTCCTTCAACTAACGTCATTCTGCAAAAAAGCCCACCACTGTGCAGAAATGTGGGTCCACTTCCCTGACCTGTGGCTTCAGAAAGAAATTTTTGAGAATTGTAGTATAGTAGTCTGGAAGGCTTTCTGAATCTTGACAATGTTGCAACAGTAAAATCATCTGTGGATAATGGTGATAAACATAAAATCAGCAACAGAGACTCAATAGAATGTCCAGGCTTGAGATACAAGAGGCCTTGTCAGGAAAGATGATAAAGCTGAAACAGAAGCCAGTCCTGGATCTACCAAGAAACCTGTGTACCGAGGATTAATGGGGGTCAACTCTTTACTAGACAAAGTAGAACTGCTACGCCTTTTCTTTATCTTCTTTAACAGTCTTTGTGACTGACAACCATTGCCAGGGCTTCCGAAAATGGAAGAAAACCTTTTCTGAGTCTCACAGCAGTCGTTTGGGGCCAGAAAGTCTTTAGGATATGGAGAAAATAGTGATGAAAAATCCATTCTTCTTAAATCCTTCATACTGACATTATCCCTTTCTTACCATCTGAATTAGAGTCCAAAGATGTTCTCCTGAACAATGGAGGAATCAGACTGTACCTTGACAGTAAATCTTGAATGCTTAAAGGTACTTATGGACAAAGCTACCACAATTTCTTTTTTCTTTCGGGGCAAAGAGATCTATGATTACTTGGATTAAGTTGCTTACACAGTCAAGTCATTAGCCCTGAATTGGTTATTTCACAAGGCGTTACCTTCAGTTCTTTGCCTTTGCAATTATACAGCCATGACAGCTTAGCACTTGGCAGCATACTGCAGAAACAACCTGTGCTGGAAATCAGACTTGCTGAGAGCAAACATGAGTGTTTCCTACAAAGCGGATGGAGTCCAGTATGAAAACAATGTATTGCAAATTAAGTGCCCCCCACAACGGCTTTGAAGATCCAGAAGAGGAATTATCATTACCTTGAAAGAATGGATGAATTTATTGTGTTACTAGCATTCCACATTAAAGACCCAAGCTCATGCTTCTTTGACATTAAGAAATCAAAACATTGGGAAAACAGTAAGTGCTTTTGCCAGCACCCCAATTTTCACACCTGAGAACATTATCCTTTTGAGACGTTTCTTGTGAAAAAGGTCTCTGAAGTGTTACAAGGAAAGATTGCTCAGAGAGCATCCAGACCACTATTTCTAAAATATGTTAAAGGTCATCTGATTGCAATGCTCTTGAAAGGTCAATTAACATGTCTTGGAAACTCGTACAACACCCCATGTTCTGATCCACAGTACAGATATACTAGTATATTAAAAAAAACCTAAAATTTTTCTAAGCAAAGATGAAACATCCTTTTTATCCTTATCTCATTCTCGAAAATGATACAAAGATTTCATAGGAATTTGTATCTTATTAATAAAAACTAAAATCTAATTTAAAAAAAATCAGCCTGAACCACACACCATCCACAGACAACATCATTATGAGCAACATTATGAGCAACTGAAAACAAAATTTTACAATGGTATATGGTAAATTAGAAATACTACAATGTTATTAGCCCCCAATGTAAATCTTGAGATGTTTATTACAATTATTTATAGAACTCAAACTTTAAAGTAAAAGGTATTTTATTGACAAATACAAAAACACTTCTTGAGCTTTCATAAATTATGTCTAGCAGCAGACAAGCAGCAACATAGCCTGCTTTTTGATGTTCAGTTTGATACATCTGAGTACCACATTACTTGCCAAGATTTTCACACTGAGATTGATTCCCTGCCACAACAAAATAAAAATACTGCCAATGGAGAAAATGAACAGGAACTAGAAATGCAAAGGAGAGATTAAAAAGGAAATAAAGAATGAGATGTACAAGACATTATAGCTTGTCTTTTCCTCCCTTTTATTTATATTATAAAACCCTTGGAGAGCTTTTTTACATATTTGTATCACTATCAAGTATGAGCAATAATAAACATGTCCTGGCACAGTTAAAGTATAAGCAAATTATGCATTACCTTGTAACTGATTCTCGATTTCCTTTTTCTCCTGTTGTTCCATCAGTAAGGAGATCTTCGTTCATTTTATCAGGCTTTTTCCGTACCTAGTCATTAAAATAAATGTATTTGTGTAACTGGGGAAGTTAGTTGGTAATAATTACTACTTCAGTCATGATAACTAACTATGGTGTACTTACTGGCTAGAGTCGGACCAACATCTTACCAATTTCTATTTCAGTAAAATACTTACTGAACTACATTAAACTGAACAGTAAAAAGGTCATTTCATACTTTTAAACTATGTACAGAACTTACTGTAACAAGAAGAAAAGTAATCAATTATGAAAAATTACATGGTGATTAATAAATCAAACAGCATGTTCAAGCGCTCTGTACTTCTTTATGCAAACAGTAACTAAAAGTGTGGGGAATCATATCTCATTTTCTTCCCTCATGAGTTTGTGATCCAGTCATTAGCTAGCAGAAGAAGGGTAGCAGGGTGTTGCACCATGCATGGAACTTACCTGAAGGAAAACTGTGATTCTCATAAGCTCTTCACAAGGAGAAAGTCACAAATCTGTCCCTGAAACATAAGCTCTCCCATCCAACTTAAGCAATTTCTGCTGTCTTACCCAGACACTTAATACAGGCTCCAAATAATTTTGTTTGCTGACCTTAATTTCCTTGATTAAAAGAAACCTAATTGTTTTTGAAACGCAAATAGCTTCTGAAACACTGCCTGTTTGAACATACTCAATTCTAACATATTAATTTCACATGTTTATGCTGTCAAGCTCACATTTACAATTTCTGTTCACACTAAATCATGCATCTTTTAGCTAATGCTTCTGAAGCCACATGCTAGGCATCACTGAAGTGATTCTACAGTTCAACTGAATGACAGAGCTTACATATTCTAGTTATAAGCTTAATACATACCACTTTTCACATAGATTAATTTTCCTATTTTGACCCAAATGGCACCCTTTCACCCTTTGTCTGTCGTTTAAAGGCAGGGTCATCACGCTCCAGAGTTACACATTTTCTCCAGGTTCTGAAACTTTCAGTTACAGGACGGGAAGAGGCTCATATATGTGGTTTTAAAAATTCCTTTTGTACTAACGTTTACATAGTTCTCTCTTCTTGTCAATGTCTAAAATTAGGATACAATGTACCAAGGACACCTACAAAAATGTTACTTACAAAACAGTGGAAAACATGTAATACCATGAGGTTCCTTCTCCTTAATCTAACTGGTGTTTCATTATCTCTTTTTGATACATCTTTACCTTACTTTCATTCTTAATTTCATTTACACAAATTTGGTAGCTTAGGGTAGAATTCAACATACCTAATTTTAACTTCCTCTCTGGTATCTGGACTTCATGTAAAATCCCCCCCCAGCCACAGGAGAGAACTGGATGTCTCAAGAGGCAGTCAGCCCCTTGGTTTAAATACATACATACGCTGAGATAAGCAGTTCTTTGGACTCTCACCCTATTAAGCTGAGAGGGAGCTTAAGGCACCTAGACTACACTCTTAGACACCTTAAGCTAGATGAGATAAATCCTACCTAAGTTTAACAGCTACTTAACAATCTTCCATGCAATTAGTATAACCTGATTGGATCAAATTAACTACATTAATTTGCATACCCTTCTCTGTTTAATTACACAAAATCTAAAATATATATTTCAGTATACATCTTCCAATTAAATATAGTCTAAGACATGTAAGCATTAGTCATATTTCATATAAGGAAATACTGCAGACAAAAAAGGTATCTCTTTACATACTTGGACTTTGATAATTTTGCTTCTGAAGCTGTTTAATACCACGATAACATCTGTCAGGTCAGCTACAGAATCTGTTCCTTCATGGCTGTGAGGAGAAAAAAACCCATGCAAATGTACTGGTTCATTAAAACATGCATTATTACTTGTGTTTAATTAGAGTATAAGGTTTAGGATTGCTGATATTTATAGAGATAAAATTTCTTCACTTGCATCTAATTATATCTTAACTCAGAAACTTTCTGAGTTTTATTCATCACTAGACATTGTCCACAGTGATGTCCACATTGTCCTCACTTTTTAATTCGGATTTTCCCAGGAACTTTTATCAACCAATGAAAAAATGCAGCAACCTAGAGCTGAAGATGTTATTATGTTATTATGTATTATACAGGTATATATTACATTCAAATATTAAACTACATTTTATTTTTCAAATATGGAAAACATCTTGGAAATTGTGGTATGATGGCATTAAATTAAATACTTTTTAAAATAAATCTGCTTTAAAGTCATGGGAAAGCTTCATCACAGTGCTGAGATAGTAAAGAATGGCTTTCGGCTGGTTGGCTTCGGGACCTGTACCCCAAACCCTAAAGACATGGCTGTACAAGGCACCACATGAACATGTGCCCTCCTGAACATCAGTTTAAAGCCATTCAGGCATCTCAAAACTGTACTGCAGTCCACTGAGCAACAAGTATCAACAATGTTGCTGTCACTCTGTGATACAGTGTAATAACATAATTCTGAAATGTTATAGCTTTTATACCTCAATAGCCCTTCAATCCTTTCTGTCTTTCCAACAGCATTATGTAGTTTCCTCTTGCTAAGGCCTTGCATACAAAAAAATTGTTTCATTAAACTTTCTTAAGTAATATGCTACCCCTTAGGCTTGATTTATTTATTTTTTTTGCCTAGAAAACAGGAATACTTAAATCTTGTTTCAATCTGTTTCATACTACTTATCTAAAAATGACAGGATTTTATATAGTTATCTGAATTTCCTATTTACTACATTTCTGTAAACTGCGGCTATGATTACCAAGTTTCATAGAGATGGCCAGCTCTTGCACAAAACAACGTTCAGCATTATCTTGACTTTTCTACTCTCCAATTTAGTTTCATTTTCACACTTTTAAAATATTGCATATATGAACACTCGGCAAAGAATTGCCTTTTTATCACAGGGATGTACAGTACTCAAAAGGGTACAGATCTCCATTTTAAATAAAGTATGTCATAAAAAAGCTCCAAAAATAGTAAAACTAGAGCCAAACACAAACTGCTGATGGCAGAAATGGCAGCAGTTGGCATAGTGTTCCCATTTTTGCCCTCAGTTTTTACACAGTTAAAATTATCTCTGTCATTCACTCAGTTAACTCAAAATCTCTATGTTATGAATTCTGCAGTTAGTTCTGCAGCTCTGCTAATGAAGATGATTTTCCAAAGTCTTTACAATATTCTCAAAGTGTTTGGTTCGGCTGTAGATTTAATAAAGCTGCCTTGTCTCTCTAGATCTCCTCCATGGATCCCTCACTGTCGGCTCCATCTTTACTGAGTGCCAATTGTTTTACTCTGCACAGCACTCAGTGTGATGAGTTTCTGTCCCGGTATCAACAATGTACTGAAAATAGTGACAGTCATTGTTAGTTACCTTGGACACTTAATGCTGGTCCCAAGACCCAATTTATGTGCTTCTTCATTCACATATTTGTATACTTCCTACTATTACACTATGGTAACTTTTTTTCCTGACAGAGTACTTCATTTCAATTCCTAGTCACCCAACTACATGCTCAATGCCTACTTACAGACTGGGATACTCACTTGTTTTTAGGAAGACATCTCTCTGAAAGAAAATCGAGTCCATCATACTGTTCTCTAATTTTAAATCAGTGTGCTGAATCTTATACAGGACCTCTTGTCCTTTTTCTGTCTCTGTGCATATGATATTCAGCATGTTGTAATTTTTTTCATGTAACAGATGCACATTTCAAATGAGCAATCATGTGAATAAGGTTTTGAATGTGACCTGGGGTTTGGAAGAACTGGGATCATAATTTATAAATTCCCTTAACAAAACCAATAAGGATTTTGTGTTTTGTCCAAAAGGTACTGAACGCTCTTAGTGTAACTGAGTTTGTAAACTCACTGAAAGTAGGCACAAGTTCCTTTTTAAATTAAGTAAAATGTCTTGCATATCGACAGCACTATTAAATATTTAACAGTAACTACTTTATTGTTATGTAATTGTTGTACAAAACTAAACATGTCCAGCAGAATATTTATGTCACAGCTTTAAAATGTTTCAAAATATCTACATACTTTTAACATAAATACAAATAAATATCAATATAATACAAAATAGAATTTTCCATATGGAGAACAAAAGCATTCAAGTTCAACAAATGGAGACCCTTTAAAATCTCAAAACAAAGAAACAAACAAAAAACTCTTGGCCTGAATTACAAAAGATACAACTTCCAGTTAAGCAGTCTGCATACCATCAAAATATAATAAATTACATCTACCTGCCTTTTTAAAAAATGAAATAAAAATATATATGTATCTTTAAACTATTTTCTGCAGAGTCTTATCTTGCAATACCTACCTGTTTTCCTACCAACATCACAGAATCAAAGTTCCAATAATAAGCAGTGCTCAGACTGTTGCTGAGTATTCCAATTTTCACCTTCCTTATATTCATAGTAATTTATTAATAACAAATTGATTTACAAGTGTGACTGCTTCAAAATCATGATCCTTGTTAGAAGCAGTGTTTGGGGAAAAACAAACAAAAGCTGTGTATTTACATAGAGTAAAAAATAAATTACTTCCACGTGTATTAGATGCTACTATGAGAGAAGCAAATAAGCATTGAGGTGTAGAACACGCTGTAACTTCAAAATCCTGTATTTCTCTTAAAACTCCTATTATAATGTACAGGCCTGTGCCTCAAAGAAAACACATCATCTCACAGTTCAACAGGAGAGGCTATGACTAAGTATACAAGGATGGAGAATATACTGCAATACCTCTTGGCAAAATTCCATCCTGTCAAATAGTTGCTTGAGTTCTGATAGCAATTTGATAGTCTTAATACTGATATCAGTAAAAGTAATATCAAAGATCCTGGTACAGCCTCCTAAACACACTTTAGCTGTTGCACTCTAAGCCTACGACTTGTAATAATTAAATGAAATAAATGCTATCATTTAGGTTCCTCATCAAGTATTGATTTTACATAACTTTGCTGAGCTCAATTAAGCTCATTTGTATTACTTCTTAGTGAAAAATCAGTAATCTTAAAAAACAGCAGAAATTTATTTGATCGAGCCTAGAATGCAGAGTGGTTTGGTTTAATTTTGTTACACTTTTTTTAATTCATCTACATCTCATTACATTTTTTTTTAATGATGATATCTTTCATAAATCACTTTATATATCTTAAGAATTGAATGTTAAATTACACAAATGATATATCTACAGTTGGTGGAGATTAAGTGAACTTCTTAGGATAAAGACTACATTTTTCTGCTTTTTTAACAGATTCTGAGTGGTTTCTGGAAAAAATACATTGAAAATTTCAAACAAATAGAATGAACCTAATATCCCATTAACATTTCTTCCTGTAACATTGAAATTGATGCATTAACTATATACTCAAAACAGCAAAGATGCTCATCAATTTTTTCATTTTTTAATAGCAGCTGATGACTAAGCATCATAGGGAATTATGTGTTCCTGAACTCCAAGTATTAATGAATATTTCATAAGAAATAGACCTGTTTCAGCCCACAGAACTGGGGGTGTGGGGGGTGTAGAAGGAAGAACTGAAGCTGAAATAAACTAAAACCATACTGTTCCTCTAGAAGTGACGGGATCCAAAGCTTCAAGAGGGAGCCCTCATATGCCACAGATCTATGCTTTTACATAAAACATGAGAGAAAGATTATTTTTCCAAGGAATAGTTAGAATGATGGCTAGCGTATGTTCCTCATATGAAAATCAACCACAGAAATTACAGATCTATAAGCAATACAGGTGGCAACTAAATGCCAGTTACTGGAGTACAACATGACTTCTTTCCATGTACAGAGGTTTCTCCAAGGAGAGGGAAATAGGGCACAGACAACATGCAGCCAGAGTACAGAACTGAAGGGTGCTTCTATATCCTAAGGTGAAGGTGTAACCACAGTGATTCTTAGATGACTTAGATGACTAAGAAACACTCAGAATTAATTGAAGAAAAAAGCCTAGAACTGAAATGAATAAAAAGATGCCACCCATCAGTAACATTGCATTCAGAGGCATCCTCAGGGCTGAAAAATTGTAAGAGGGAAATTCATGGCACTTCCTCCAGCTGATTAAGACGCTGCTAGACAGCTAGCAATGCTTCAGTGGACATATTCTTGGAATTACATGTTAAGTATGTTGAGAATGCCAAAATCATAGAATCATAGAATCATTTGGGCAGGAAGGGACCTTTAGAGGTCATCTAGTCCAACCCCCCTGCAGTGAACAGGGACATCTCCAACTAGATAAGGTTGCTCAGAGCCCCATCCAGCCTGACCTTGAATGCCTCCAGGGATGGGGCTTCCACCACCTCTCTGGGCAACCTGTTCCAGTGCTTCACCACCCTCATTGTAAAAACTTTTTTCCTTATGTAAGTCTAAATCTACCCTCTTTTAGTTTAAAACCATTACCCCTTGTCCTGTCACAGCAGACCCTGCTAAAAAGTCTGTCCCCATCTCTCATATAGGCCCCCTTCAGGTATTGGAAGGCAGCAAGGAAGTCACCTCGAAGCCTCCTCTTCTCCAGGCTGAACAACTCCAACTCTCTCAGCCTGTCCTCATAGGAGAGGTGCTCCAGCCCTCGGATCATTTTCGTTGCCCTCCTCTGGACCTTCTCCAACAGGTCCATGTCTTTCCTGTGCTGAGGGCTCCAGAGCTGGATGCAATACTCCAGGTGGGGTCTCACCAGAGCGGAGTAGAGGGGCAGAATTAGACCCCTTGACCTGCTAGACACACTTCTCTTGATGCAGCCCAGGATGCGGTTGGCCTTCTGAGCTGCAATTGCGCATTGCTGGCTCATGTCAGCATGTCAGATGAAATATACATCAATAAAACCATGAGTGACATTTCTACAAGATTTGGTGCAAGCAGTTGCATGATAATGCTAACCATGCGTGGAACTGACAGGGCAAGTGTCTGGTAGCTGTGTAGCTGTATAGTAAGAGACTTTGCATCAAGTCTAGCTGAGCAGTTTAGGCTTATTATGCACTAACATATCCAAATGCCTTCAAGAATACATGGAACAATCAAATAACAACTCACAGTATCAGGAAATAAGGTGTCTCTTACAAACTTTAAATCATCATTTGCTTCTTGCTTTATTTTTTCATGTTATTTTTTCTCATTTTCCTTCAATGCTGTCAGGTCTTTTCAAAATATAAATGAATCTGAAAGTACAATATAAGTATGTTTCTAAAAGACAGATTAATACTTACGAAAAAACCTGATAAATCTCTTTGGATCTTCCTTTACGCAACCTCAGTGTCCAAGCACCTGGATTTGCTTTCAGCTGAAAATACCCCTATGAAAAAAAGGAAAGAGGCGCACTTGTTCTGTCAGCATTTCAGAATCAACCACATACATATACAAAAATAAATTATCCAACATTAGGTACTGCAGCCAAGGTTAGTAACCACTACTTACTCTCAAACTAGCCCTGAAAGTACTATGGCAGTGATGCAACCAACCATCACCTTTCCTGCATGTTCACATTAATGTCTTTCAGTGCTCCATTTGTTTCTAGCTGAATTTGAATTGTATACAAAATCTCCACCTAGAACAGCAAGTAAGTCAGCATGAAAGAAACTGACCCCAAACTGAAAAGCTTCCTTGAAACTTAAAATTTTTGTCTGGAACAACTTTCCCAGTCAACACAGCGCCTTCCCAATTTAGGAACATTGCATACAGCTATCACTACGTGAAAGCCAGACAAAGAAAGCTTTGGAATGTGAAGAATCATTAAAAGTTTCATCATGTTGAACATCTTCTACTGTTGAGACCATATTCAGTACTTGTGTAAAAATCAAAGATTCACAGTTTACTAAGCATTTTATTCGTTGTGATACAGTATTTACAGAGAACAGAGAATTGCAGATAGGTAACGGATCTTATTCATCAAAATCCTTCCCTATCAAATTACTTTAGCCAATAGAAAATAAGTCTTTCACTTCAGAAATCACAAGATCTTCTGCTCTGCAGACTGCTAAAAATGAAAAGTAATTACTTTGGATGACCAGAGGAATTCTCAGGTGTGGATTTGTCCACAGAGGCTTTAAGCACTTAACTGAAGAATCTAAAATAGGAGCCTTCTTTTGTCTGGATCATTGTGTAACAAAAATGGTTATTTTCATCAGAATGTGACTCATATCTTACATTTGCCAGTGGAATCTCCATCTGAATATAACTATTTCCTACCATCTACTTAAGGCAATTAGGCTCCCAGTTTATGCACTTCAGATAAGAGTCTAAAATTAGACTATATCCAAACCTACACTGGATCAGAAGAAGAGTGGGGGAAAGCTCAGCAAAGCAGAGATGCACATCGTTTGTAGATGGTCTCAAATCCAGGATGCTCCTGTTACTTTTAACGTTATTAAGCTTGCAACACAGAGAAAAGGATTTAAAGAACAAGAAGGTCATAAAGAATTCTCATGAAGAGTGTGCAATTGTAATGACTATTTCTGTATTTAACACTTACTAGGTTGGCCATCACGATAGTATCAACCATGACAGGATTATTCTTTGTGCCCAGAGTGAACTGTAACCCTCGAGGAGGTTGTCCAGTTGTCACATCAAAGCAATGTCCTTCAAGCAATATATATTCTAGTTCATATTCTGCTATAACTGTCCCTTTTACCTGTGGAAGGAACATTTCATCAATAAATTATGCTATTTAACTATGTGAGAAAAGCAATATATAACAATGACAAACACATTGTGTGGGATTTACCTCAACTAAATTCATAAACTGTCAAAAAAAAAAAGAGAAAGACCCCTCCAGAAGGAACTTCGTTCAGTTTTAAAATAGGTAACCAAGATAAAGAGAATGAATCACTGTCTGGAGGGACCTTCTCTCCATTGACTGTTGAGGAAGCTGAGACATCTCAGCTTTGGTAAGGTAAATCCCAACCTTTATTTGCACAATACACCTTCCAAATACACAGCTTCGGTTCATCAAACACCCTCAATATTTTTCATAAGATTAGTGACTGAAACAAATCTAGTGACTTTGAAGTTGAGGGATTAAAAATATAATTAAAAAATTGTGAACCCTTTTTTAAGGGTCAAATGTATTTCAATCTATATTAATAAACAGCCATATATTTGGGATTATTTGAAGATTTACCTAGGTTAATCCTATTACTACCAAAAATATTAAAAAATAAAAGAGAAATAGAAAGCTAATACACAGAATCCTTTAATTGCTTTATCTCAAAAAAATAGTATTCATGTAAACATTATAAAGCTCAACATAGCAGGTAAGTTACTTTAACTTGTACTCTACATTCTGATTTTTTCTGTTTCTGTTTCATTGCTTTAAGACTTGCCTTTTTTAAAGTAAGAGAGAACATGAAAAAAAGATGATGAAAATAAAAATCGTAAAATACCAACTAAATAATCGATTACCACAGAAAATATTTCTGGAAAACAGACACAAAAAATCTCACAGAATTTCCATTTCCCCCTTGAGGTGGAAGGTCCAACATAAGTTTTAAAATATTTACAAACTACTACTTACATCCTGTAAATGAATGTTATCAAGATCACAGGAACTGTTCACTGCTTCAACCAACCAGTTTTCAGGAGTGATCATGTTTAGAGTTAAAAGGGATGATTCTGGCAATTCTAGGAATTTTGCCACAGGTTCAGAAGGAAGGTGCTTGTTGATCCCATAAGTTAATTCTGGTTCCAGAACAAAACGATAGAAGCTGTTGAAAAAGAAGTGTTCAAAAAAAATACATTTACTGAAGCATGAAGTTCCAAATACATTTCTTCTGAAATACTTTAAAATATACTGAATGTTTACTAAATTAATGATGTTTGGAGGCACAGTAGCTCCCTATTCTTTTGAAATACCATCAGACAATACTTACAGCATCTCAAATGGGCTGGTAGATGAACACAGATCTATTCGCTTTTGATAATTTTTTACTGTGGAAGTGGAAGTTCCCATTAACATTCTAAACAGCTGGGAAGGTGAATACCCAAGAGGTGCATCTAAACAGCTTGACTGTGAACTGCCTTGAATTCTCAGAATCTGTATCACTAAACTAAACGGAAGGACAAATCTCTGCTGGAAGAAAAGAGTCTTTGGGAATGACTCCTGACACTAGCAGCACCAAAGACAGAGAACAGAGAAAAGGAGGGGTCTCTCTCTTCCTCTCCAGCTCTTACTCCATTCATTCCACAGGTAAAAGGTCCTTGCAACAACAAAATAATTATTATTTTCTTCCTTCATCTACTGATATTCAACAAAATGAGAAGAATCAGGACAGAGAAAGAAAAGCACTGAAGATGGAGAGGGAAAGCAGCAAGCAATGAGTGCTTCATATGGAAAAAAAAAAAGCACATTAAATTATTACAGAAAGGAAAAAGGCAAGAAAGTCTGCACCCATCAGGAGGAATACAATTTTTCTCCAAAGTATTTGGGCTAGTACATGGACACATTTCATGTGAAACCATTGCTGCAAGAAAAATACAACCTGTCCGCAGGGCAGATGCCAGAACACTTCTCCCTCTTACCTCTCCCAAGCACAGGGAAACAACCAGGCACTAACACCTGCAAAGTGCCTAGCTTTAAAAGCGATCATGACAATATTCACACAAGACAGAAGATTGATCATTACGACACTGTCTTGCAGTGTAAGAGGTACGAGTTCAATTCCCCTCAAACCGAATAGAAACTAAAGACTTCTGCTTTGTGGGAGATTAATTCTCTAGCCTGCTGGCTAAAGGGCAGGCACTACCACCAGCTTCTCTCATAAGATGACTACAGGTAAAACGTCTGCCAAAGGGATGGCAGTGCTTTAACATTTCTCTTAGAGGGAAAGGAATCCTCTCTGGGGAATTCACTTCAGTGTGAACGTCTATAACTGAATTAGTGAACCCTGGTCTTTACAGACTGTCAAAAGAAACTTAAATTTAAGGCAGCTGCTTTGAGGGTATAATCTTACAAATTATAACAAGATCTCAAATGCAGACTGTACATTTACGCAGATGAATTTCATTTTTAAGTTCAGTGTACTTAATCTGTAAAATTCATTACACAGGCAGGAGGCTGTAAGAAGTGACGAAGTTAGGCAGACAATCTCCCTCTGCAAGGTTTCACAGGTGTGAAAGACTCTCCACTGATTTCTCTAAGGGTTGTTTATGAGAGGGGCATTTGATGGACTACATCACTTCCCTGTGATCCCATGCTTGACACCTTAGAATTAGAATTTTCCTCCAGACTAGTGCAAACTGCTTAGGTAACAGTCAACTTACATTCAAAGAAAATAACTAATGCAACAAAAGAATTCGGAAACATAAACTACTGTTTATTTTTTAAGGGAATATACACTGTTAAGGCTGTTTTTCCAAACTGAGTGAGATCATATACTTGTAAGAAAAACTATAAACTACTTACCTCTTCAGTGGCGCTTCTGACAGCTTAGGTCTGCAGTTCAAAAACAACCTGAGTTTCATATTGATAATGTCTTTGAGTACCTACAGAAGAAAAAACCTCTGTAAAAAATGGTTCTTGGTAATCGTCAAACTTTGAAAATAAGACAAAGTTATCCTTGCAACATCCTGTCATTTCTCAAGCTTCAGTAGAAATCGCAAACATTTTAAAGTTCTAAATATATCTGTATATTAAGGGATGTTGTCAGGTATTCCAAATAAAGACTTGACCTTTTCTAAAACTGCATGATTTAGCACATGATAATCTTGATAGTCAAAATTGTTCATGTTTTCCCCTAGTGATGCAGTTTTTTAAAGAGCTGAGTAAATTATTTTATCATCTTTCTCATATTGTTTTCTAGGAGATGTTAAAGCACTTGAAAATCTGTAAGTATAATACATGCCTTTTATTCAATAACCAATCTTAAAACAATTACTTTCACTCTTATTAAAATAGTTGTATGCAGGAAATTGTTGAATATAGTAAAGCTCAGAGAATTATTTTAATACTTAATTACTTAATAATTTTAAATGTCAGCAACAGATTAATGATGTGTGAAACTGTTCAATCAACTTCAAAACATTCCAGTAAGTGAAAATCTTTCTACTTCTTTCTCAGTTTGTTCATCTGTTCATTTCTAAAAAAACTAATTTTCTGGATGCTGTTATATAGGAACTATAATATTAGGACAGTATTTTTTTCTCATTTCTGTGAGTAATCTGTTTTAAGTTAACAAAGTTATTAATTTCTTTAAAGCACTCTTAAAAACCTTTACCTAGTTATCTTCATTTCTGTGTTTTCTGATTCAAAGTACTTATTTGAAAGCATGAAGCAGCTGTGTCTACCTTTATGGATATTACCAGAAAAGCAAATAAGATACGAAGCTAAGTTACAATACTGATACCACTAAGGCTAAAAATCTAAAATTACTGTAACAGCAAGTAAATTGGCAACAAAGCAAGACAATGGTCATCCTTAAATCTCTCATTTATTATAACCATTTTTTCCTTTCCTCAGTTCAACCCATGGCTCCGCATGTTCCTTTACTATAGTGCTACAACTTTACATAGTCCTAGGGATCTGTTCTGCTCTTAGTTTCTTATTCTCATCCTTTGTGCCACTTGAATACTCTCACTGAAAAACTACTGAGCAAAAAATAGAGACTAGGGAAGGGCATAAGGGTCAGAACAAATGAAGAAGCAGGAAACAAGAACCCAACAGCACTGGAAGCATAAGAAGGGAAAGTATTGTGTGACATGGGCTAAAGACCACCAAAATCAAAATGCAGGTCAAAGTGACTCAAGTATCTATCTATCATTCAGAATAAAAAGCATTTTTAACCAGTCTAGCTGGTTTCATCTACTAAAACACACACAGAATTTTCAACATTAAAGAAAACAATTTCTCAAATAAAAATGTTGCATCCAAAATGATGTAAACCTGTACTGGACTTTATCCTCAAACAAGACAAAACCTCACCCCATTAGTAAGAATGATACTTCAGCAACCTGCGTTGATAGGTTGCTGTGTGTAGAATGAAATGATCTTGAAAAAGACTGAGGTATCATCCCAATTCATCAGCTGATCATGAAATTTAGTATAGCATCATAGCCAAAAGAGCAATGCCATTTTTAATTAACATTTCAAAGGAATTTAAACAGAAAATGACAAAGAAGACAAGAATGCATTATCTCTGTGTTTTCCAACAATGCAACTTCTGAAATACCGAATTGGTTCTGTGATTTAGGGCTTATGAGGACACCAAAAGCCAGGGCATTCAAGTCAACACATGAAAATGGTTACAAGACTGGAAAGCCTTTTATATAGCAGAGTATTTTAAGAGTTCAGTCTGTTTACTTTAAATCAGAAAATACAAAGAAAAGCATGGAAATTTAGTTCAGGGAGTATTTCATACTGTAAAATTTGAAGAAAAAAATTGAAAAACTTAAAAATTATTTAAGAGCAAGTTTTATTTTGCATGTGCACTCACTTTGCAAAATGCTTACTGTAAGTTACCACAACTCATCTGAAAAGCATTAACTCACTAAACCATGATTATTCAACCAATCACTTGGTATTGTTTGAGAACATCACCATAATATGAAGTATCTACACTGAAAATAAACTCTTAAGCAGAATCTTCCACGGAACCAGCAAAATGATGAGATGATGAATGCTTACAGCGTGGAGCTAAATAAAAATTTGCGATTCCAAGTCTGAGTTTAACAGTCAGGTTAGCCACTGGAAAAGCTCAGTAGGAGCTGTGGTCTGTACTCAACTGCTTGACAATATTTAAATTAGGATTAGATTAAAAAAATAATTTCTACTTCAAATGCTCATTGATAAAAAGAAGTCCTATGACCTATGTTATATAGGAAATCAGACTAGATTATCAAAAGGGGCTCCTATCAATTTAGGAATGGAGTAAGAGTTTCTCTCTGAAGACAGAATGAACAAACGAAAAAAGGCAAAAGATAATTGACAGGAAAAAATGTTTGATTTTTCTCTTCGTATTTTTGAGTTCTTTGACAGTTACTGCAACAAGAAAAAGTAGATAATCCTAAGAGTTACATACTGCTGGAATAAAGCAGTTAGGCTAGGGGATAGTTTGTTCAGTGGCACCACGTATATTTTTTGGTTTTGGTGAGCCATGAGAAAAAAACCACACCTCTTCAATTTTGTCCTCATTTTAGGAGGAATTTCTACTTTTTCACATCACCTTAGGGACCACCTTCATAACTTTAGGACTAGTTAGCTGTTCCATGTATTCTGCTGAGAACTGATGTGGTCCAACCCTAGTCAAGTTATGGCTAGTATTTAAAGATCTACTGTAGACAGTGACTGTTGCCTTGTCTGGAAACATTCGATGCTGAAGTCTACGATAAAACTTTTTGAAAAAGGGAAAACATGGGTTATATGGAAAGTTCTGCCTGCCTTCCTCTGGACAGGACATAGAGCAGTTCTTCTGACACAATCCAGTATCTATTTTAAAAATGGATAAAAGTCTTGGCTCTGCTCTCATTATTGCTCTGACTTATATGTTGCCTCTGTTCTTGAATTGCCATTTTGTCAGGTTAAGTAGTAAAATTTAGATTACAGTTTACCCATAGCTGTTTACACCTTCTCAATCTCGATTCCATTTAATATGAGTAACTTTTTGTTTATATTTTTAAAAAAATTACCAAAAGATTTCTTTGAAGTGACTATTAAATGACATAACATAATATAATAGCATGGTTTCACCATGGTAAAAAAAAAAAATTCATAATGTGGACATATTCAACATGGACCGGGGCAAGAATCATGTGCTTTGCTGTGGTAGTTACTACAAATATTTTGCACTGTGAATAGCTACCATCCCAAAATACTGGACACTAATCCAATTATGTTATTCAAAAAAAGATTCTTTTAATATAAATATATCCCAATGCTATATACAGTAAGATAATAAGAAAGGCATCCATTTAGGAACTTTGAGCTTGGGGCTTGCTGTATATGTATGCCTGTTTTGTCTCTACAACAGGAGGTGGTGGCTTTCCAGACAATTAGATATATTAGAGAGAGAGAGAGAGAAAGATAATATAGATATATTAGATATAATTAGATATATACTTTTTTTTAATTTTCAGGTTATTTTATTTTTCATTTTAAAAAAAGTGTATATTAAAATATTTCCAATTCGTTTAGTTTCAACAGCATTTCATGATTCTCTCCTAAGAGTTGGCTTGTTGAATAAGACTACAGCTCCTATGAATGAAGTAGGATCTGCGATGGATGAACAGCTTGGTACACCATAGGAGTCATTTGTCTAGGCATGGATTAGGGAAGATATTGCTCATCAGAGAGCCTGTTGCGTGAGGAGGAATGGAGGCTTCTGATCTGAGCTACAAGGTCCTTGATGCCGCTTACCATAACACGAACTTCTGGCTGAATGGAGAGAGTTTCCAGTCAATTCCAAAATGAAAATATTTTCATGTAGTAATATCAAGCTTTCATTTTAACTGAGAATGGTGAAATGAAAGATCTGCTTCTAGAGAAAAGCTAGTATTCCAGAGTCTTGAAATATCAGGATTTTCATGCATTTTTAAAATATTTTACTTTGTTTCACTACTACGTATGAAGAGTGGGTAGATGCTTCAACATTTGATACAAAAGGCATAAAAGGGTATGAAAATGAGAGGGGAAAAAGAAGTGTAATAATTTAGGAAACTTTCATAATTACTGCAGAGAAAAAGATAAACCAGGATCCAGCAAAAATCAAGTTACAGGCTTCAGAATTGTAACAGACCATAAAGAGAAGACAAAATTTACATTTTTATGGGAAACTATAAAGGAACCTGAGATAGCATGATATTCTGCAGCTAGTGAAAAAAGAAAATCATTTTAGCAGCTATGTTTTTAGGACAGATTCTCTTTAGAGGATCAATAGCCACACACAATGGGAGACTTCTAGATATACTTGTGTCCTGGTTTCAGTTAGGTTAATTTTCTTCCTAGTAGCTGGTACAGTGCTGTGGTTTTAGGTTTAGTATGACAGTAATGTTGATAACACACTGATGTTTTTAGTTGCTGCTAAGTGGTGTTTATACTAAGTCAAGGACTTTTCAGCTTCTCATGCCCTGCCAGTGAGAAGGCTGGAGAGGCACAAGAAGTTGGGAGGGGACACAGACAGGACAGCTGACCCAAACTGGCCAAAGGGATATTCCATACCATACGATGTCATGCTCATTATATAAACTAGGGGGAAAGCTGGCTGGGGGCCGCTACTCAGGAACTGACTGGGCATCGGTCGACGAGTGGTGAGTAACTGCATTGTGTATCACTTGTTTTGTACATTCTAATTCTTTTATTATTATCATTACTATTATTATTACCATTATTATTATTTTCTTCCTTTTCTGTCCTACTAATCAACTGAGAAATACCTTTCCAAGAGCTGAAAGGTTTATAGTCCAATCTTCTTATGATGATATTATAGGTCAGATTTAGATCACCTCATTTAAGTACCTTGGAAAACTAAGGTGATTTGGCTTAATGGAAAGAAGCATATGCCTCTTAAGGTTTTGAGATGGGAGATCCTTTCGCTCTATATTATGCAAACAATCTCCTCCTTTCCTTCTGTTGACTATATGAGCGTTTATAGACTCACTTCTAAGACTTCACGGGGCATTGAATTTTAATTGCAAATACGGTACTTACAATGATGAATGAGATCATCCTCAACTTTTTAATACAAATTTAAATAACTAAATATATATTTTAAAAAATACATAAATTTTGTTTACCCTTTTACTACCTTGTACCTTGAAATTAGAAAAAGTTTAGTAAAAATTAAACTACAAATATGTAAATTAAAAGAAATGACCACCATCTTACAATCAATAAATGAGCCATCTTCTGTGCTTCTCTTGTCAATGGATCCACAATAGCAATAACATCATAGAATGGTTCGTTCTGTTGGGGATCGACTTTCACTATGCTGTTAAAAAATAAGGGACGTGAAAACTCTGCACTGAATTTGTGGAAATAACAAACATTTTCAGGCATGAATTTGTAACATCAGAGGCACTTTAGATTTTACTGCTCATGAAGATGTCTCCCTCAGTTCAAGCAGTAATCATTGCTCCCTGTGATATCACTAGGAAAGCTAAACATGAACAGCAATTAAACATTTAGCATTAACTTACATAGTTCCATACTGTTTATTGATTAAATACATGTCCCATAACAAAATTAATAAAATAAAATGAAAACATACCGTAAAATTTTAAAATCGACTTTTTTGTCACTAGTCTACGGTTTCCTTCACCGATATCTAGAATAATCACATTTGACAAGTGCCGGCTGTGCCAGAATTTTAAGAAAAAAGTGGGAAAAATGGCAATTGAGAAGCGTGAAACTTGATAGGATGGATTAGCTTTATGCAGTCCAGAAAGTAATTTAGTTTGATAAACTTGATTAGACTAAGTCAAGGAGACCCTAGTTAAAGTACTCCGGATGTACAGGAAGGAAATGTTAATAAGCCTCACTTAAAAAAAATAATGTTCTGCAAATACACAAAATGGACTATCTGAATTTGTTTTTCAGAAAAAATATACCTAAAAATGCAAGTACCATTAGTGAGTCAAACTCCCTCTAATATGGTAATAGCATAGTATTGACTGTTATTAGTATAACTTTGGAAATCGTGTTAGCCACCTAAAAAGGCTACTACTGATTTCACTCCTTGTATTTTCTACAACAGGGCCAGGTCACAGGCACAGCATAGGAGAGCACCTTTACCAATAAAAGCAAGTAGGGATTTGGGAATAGCATTACAAAAATTTTTATTTTGATCATGGTTCTCGTGTTATCACATATCGTTTTAAAAAATGTAGCTGTCTGCTCCAGAAAGCTTGCCCAGCTAAGCTTAAATTAAAACCAGCTACCATTAGTATCCCATTACAAAGAGGACAGGATTCACAGATGCACATCCTGGTATTGTAGGTTTCATTCATTAACAATGACAACAAAAGAAGACGCTCAGGGCATATTCATTTTCTAAATCTAGGATCAGAAACACAAGGAGCCAACATACAAGTAACTACACTAATGTCAGTAATATGAGCTCTCCAAGTGTAAATCTGTTAGCTGATAACAGTCTGTTCAGTTTTTCTTAAGGAATTAGGTGCCAATGAGCCCTATTAATTTGCATTTGAATGTGATCTAGTTGTATTAGCTGTGTATTTAGCTGTGGTCAAGAACGACATTGCTAAGGCACGAACTGTTACACAGGTGTAAGCATGTATATATTAGCCCTGACAGCAGTACTCAAGATCCACAAACAGAAAACGTTCTGCTAGACTTTTCCACATTAATGAAAATCAGTGGGTGCTTCTTTTAGCTCTAATCTGTGAAAATACTTCTAACATTTTAGTAAAAGTATGGACTCCAAGTTTTCTAATTCCAGATCACCACTTTTGTTCACACCAATTGTAATCACTCTTTTTCCAGCAACGGATAAGGCTGAAAAATCATTAGGTATTACCAATTAATCATGTCACCAGTACATTCTAATTTTAATATGAAGGTACTATAAGTGCATTATCATGACAGACAGAACTTACCTGTACTGTTCTTTGAGTAATTTAGCATCTTGTCTCATCTCTGTTTTAGGCAAAGATGACAGTAGGGCATCTATTTTCATAATCAAATCACTGCCACTATATTAAATAAGGCACATATAATTTGTTTTTCATTAGAAAAGGAGTAAAACATTCACATTTTAATGTGTGTATGTCTGTCTGCATAAGGGATATTTAAAAAGCCCACATCCCAAACCTGGCCTCTTCAAAATGATTATCACCTCGAGATTTGTTGCTTTGAGTAAAACTTTTAGCATGACAACGCCCAAGAGCCACTACTGCCTTAGAGCTTGTGAGCTGCACACTTCTTAAAATGAAGTGATGCAGAATTAGCAGAATTACCATTCAGCCTCAAAGTTTGCATGGTACAATCTGCTGATGTTTATAGCTCTTTATTTCTCCCCCCACACACACACACAATTTTTTCCCTTCTTGATAACATCTAGGAACAGACATAAATGAACAAGTTTCAAGTTCACTTGGCCATATCTTCTAATTTTTTTGGTATTTCTTACTGGAATTTCCTTAGAAACCTTAGTAGTTCTATTTCAGTGTCACTAACTCTTTATATTTGATTAAACACGTTTTACCTCTCACTACTTGTCTCCTTGATAGTTCTACCACCTCTTCCTGATTTTGTTTCTCTGGTAGTTATTCTTTCAGTTGTGCCAGTCCTTTCAGGTAACGGAAATGATACTCAAACATAGCAAGTCAATAGATATTGTAAAATTAATGTAATTTTGCTCTCTTCTTTGTACACAAACTGGATCCTTAGATTAAAAGCTGGCTAGAACTCATCTTTACACTTCTTCAGTTAACAGATGTGTTGTTTTCTAGCAGGGTGTCAGAGCACCACATCTGCCTACTCCTCTACAGGCTCCTTTTCTGATGATTCCCAAAGACAATGCACTTTCTTACTTCAAATATCAATACTCAGATATTACTGTGGATTCAACGTGCACTAGATTTTATCAAGCTTATTATTATTCTTTATAATTACTCTTAAGTAAACCAAAGCTAGTAGGAATTGTTTACAGTTAGCTGTACTTGTCTCTTGGTTTTAAGTACAATGAACATAGATAAAGTATTTGGAATAAGCTTGCAGAGGTGCACACACGTTATGAGGCAAGTTGGAGAGGATATGATTCTTTGGACACGCAGTGATCTTATGCCTTAGCCTCATCACACATATGACCAATGATAAAAGGGTGCATGTCCCTTGAATAACACGGCATGCCTTTTTTTCTCCGCTGTGCTGTAACAACAAGGTACCAAAGAGGCTGTCAGCAGCAGGGTAAATGACACATGCAGTTGAAATCCAACATATACAGTTTATATATACAGTGGAAAACTATGTTAAATAGCATAATTAGCCAAGCATAAAGGTGATACAAAATTTAGCAGATGGGCCATTTCTTCTAGAAAATAGGGTATGGGTAGGTAAGTATGCTAAGTCTGTCAGGAAAATGCTAAAAAAGAAATGAGGGACACTTAAACCTGTTTACATAGAAGTACTTGGATGCAAAGTAAGAGGACAGCAAACACATAGCACACAAACAGCAAACACTTTAAGTGCATGTACAGTGTATATATATGAGTATATAGCATGAAGAGTACTATGACTATATATTTGAACCTTTGTTCATATTTCCCATGCAAAAGGATTATTAACTTGTCATAGGCGATAAACAAGGCAGTATATCATAAAGTCTCAAAATGCAAAAGAATTTTACCTTTTACTGCTGTTTCCGATCTCTTTGACAATAGCTTTAATCTTCTCCGCTGAGGTACTGTATGTTACTTTTTCCAACAAATTAAAGTCTTCTGCATAGAATTTATTTTCATCTAAAGGACCCAGTACCTTAGACAGAGAAAAAATGTTACTAAGCGTAGAATGTCCCAATAACGTTTCTTCTGTAAGCAAAAATATACTAATATTTCAAATGCATGCACAATATTCAGTATGCAACCCCCAGCCCTACATACATTAATATTATAAACTATATAGTACTAAACTGTATAGTAACTATGCAGGACTAGGTTTTTACAGTTATGTAAATACAGTTAATTATCAATCACAAAGAACAGCTGCAATGGAAATATCCATTATATTTTTCATTATACATACCTATGTAAAGGAGTACATTATTTAGAAATAACAAATCTAAGTTGAAGAAAAAGCTCTGTTAGGTACATTATTTTAAACTGAAATTCAAATTACTATCTGCCTACCACATTCTCTAGTGTTTAAATCTGTGAACACAACCTTAACTTCTCAGGGCTTCTCAAATGAAGCAGAAGGGATAGAAAGGAAGAACAAAGATAAGAAATGGAGGATATCCAGAGACAAGAAACAGAACTACCACATTTATTTGGTGTCTGAAGGAAAAAAAGGTGCCTTGAAGTCCCAGAAAACAGCTTTGAGGATGTTGTTTGGATTTCCTACTCATAGTCCACCAGGCTAAACTGACTCAAGTCAACTTCAAGAGCCTATGGGGCTCCCAGGATGTACAATGTCATGATGCAAGTTTGGAGCTGAATGCCCCTCTCCCAAAATTCAACTGCTTCCTAGAAACAAGAGGTTATCTAACAAAATTCCACTTTTGAATTTTTTATTAATATTAATGATGCATGAGAGAGAGAAAACCATAGTGTGATTACAAAATACCATACTACTTTTGTAGAAGTCATAATTAGAGAAAAAAAAAATTGGTCACACAAACAAAACTTTAGTGCTGAAAATAGCAAGGATAGAAATGAAAGATATCCTAGGCCTTTTTTTAAAAGTAATCTTTTAAAGGGAAAAAACACACTTTCAGATAGATGACTATACCTTATCAAATTTATCAAAGTATTTTTAAGAAATGTATTTCCTCAAAACTTAAAATACGACATTATTTGAGCTTTTTTAGACATGGAAAACAGTAATTACCATTTACAAAATAACATTGCATATTTAGTTATTGGGGGGGACAGGTTTGACACAAAAAAGCCAACACAATTCTTTTGTGCTTCACCAACAAAAACGCTTTCTGTGGGTTCGTTAGTGCTATTTCAGTTGTATCTCAGAAGCCATTTAGGATGCACAAGAGTAACTAAGAACATAATTTAAAGAGAGTTTCCAGTAATGAGATGCCAACATAGTATCTCTATTTCTTTCTAATGATGGAGCAACAAATAGAAAATAGAAAAGACTTAAAGAGTATGTTGTATAAATTGTATTTGTAATGTAAGTACTAAATATTGAACCCAATATTGTATTTTTTAATCACAGTTCTTCTATAGCCACACTGTAATTAAGGCTACTGGTTTCAGAATATACATACAAAAATTGAAACAACAAAACTACTATACTTTTATTTAAACATTAAGACTACAGAACAATTTAATATTTATAAACAATTTGAGTTTTTAGAGCTTGAAATACTACCCTAGTCAATGTAATTTATATTTTATTATATATGCAGTAGGTTTATCCTATCCCAAACATGTAAAATATAGGTAACTTCAGGATCAAAATTTATTCTTAAATATCATTAATAATACATCAAATATTAACTTAGAGAATTTTGTCAGATTAACTCTTACATAGCTATGGGAATAACAGATGTACATTGCAGCTTCAATGGAACAGAGCGAATAAACAAATTAGGAGTAAAACAAAATAAAAACCAAGGCAAACATTCATACCATTCTCTAACAAGAGGCTGAATAAGTGGGAAATCAATATAAGGTATTTTCTTTAGCTTGAAACTGAAATTCCAGGAAGTAAAAAATACCTACAGAAAGACTGAGAGATTACTTAACTTCTTTCTTACCCTGCCATTGCTGATAACAGCCATTTGCCCAGGAAGCAGCTTAAGAACCTCCTGGCAGAACATCTGGTGGGTTTTAATTAAATCCAGTCCTAAAGTGTTGTACTTCTTCTCAAAAGTATCATCATCCATTCCCTAAAGCAAAGGTAAAGCATGAGATGGCAGAATGATTCAGAAAAAATAAATTTTTAACAGCTGAGGGAATCAAGGATTTTCTTCAAGTTACGGGGTAATCAGAAATCAAAATAAAACAACCCCCTGGGTTTTAGTGTAAGTACATGACTGTCAGTGTGGAGCCATGGTCTTCCAACTAGGTAGTGTGCAGTTTTTACCCTTGGGCAACTGTGAATAACCTTGAGAGGAAAGTTGAGCCTGAGGTTAAGCACTTTTTCTATGATCCAGTATTAAAAATAATACTCTCTGTTAACAACTGAACCATATTCTCACTTTTAGGAAAAAGGTATAAAAAAATCCCTAATACTGTAAAACCCTCACAGTCATTTTAATGTGGTCTCTGGATACACCTTAAACATGTTTTGCGGAAGCCAGCATCATCCAGTAAGACACATAACAAATCAGTGTCCAAAGTGGGAAAAAATGCTGGAATTTTACCATGCTTACAATGGCACTATGCCTTACCTGTCAAAATTCTCCTGCTCTATGGAACTCCACTGCTATGTATATAGAAATACACAGACCAAGCAAACAGATTAATTCAGATACAATTAATATAACAAAACAAATTAGTAACATGCATACACTGCTTAATTAGCTACCTTTATGTCTTTCAGAATTTATGAGACAATGAAATAAAAGCATGACCCAAACCAGCTAATTAAGTTTCCAATATGGTGACAGAGAATTCTATTCATCTTCCAAACCTTCCTATTTAAAAATACTACTTTGCAGCTGTTATTTGATAACTCAGCTCCACTCTACATGTGAACTTTGAAATCAGCAACATTTGTATTTTAAATCAATCAATTTTCATAGAAATACACCAGAAAATGTTGGTCAGAATATACAATGCTCATTAACTTCAACTGCTTCAGCTTGTGCCTATCACTGCTCATAACCACAAGAGCAAGGTTACTTCTGAAGTCTTAATTCTTGACAAACATTAATAGAGTAATTTTAATTGAGAGCTATAAAAAAAAAACAAAAATCAACAATTAAAAATTATTTTGGTCTCAATACTCCAGTATCTGTACTCTGTATTTTTCAGTACTCCTTTTCTTCCTTTTCTTTAAAGAAATTCTCTATTCTTCTATCACATAAAAGTCATCAAAAATCCAAATCTGTTCGAGCAGAAATTGTATAAGGCTTATAAACTTCATAGCGTTTGACTGAACACCTTTACTCTCAACAACATCTCCTTACAATAAATTATATGTAAAATGAAAAAGAAAGTAGTCTAATTTAGTTTGCACTCACTGGGATGAGGAATTTAGCAATTTTAGTTCCAGCAGCAAGGGATTTTGCTGTCTCTTCCTTACTGAGTTTACTTAGGAAACTTTTTAAGTTGCTGTTGTTTTGGGTCAGAAAACCAGCCAAAATTCCTCTTGCAATGGCTGTGTTATCTTCCGTTATTTTTGATGAAGGATTGTTCAAAATCCCAACTCGTGTATGACTGCTTGTTTTCTGCGAAGAAAAATACAGAATAATACACAATTTTACAGTTCTATCTGCTGTTACCTAACATATTCGTATCTCTTATAACTCTGTGAAATGCCCTTAGGTAATTTTTTGCAGCTATTTGTCTTTAGAAAAGATACAACGCTGCCTAATTCAGAACTTCAACTAGAAGTAAAGATGTTATTAGTAAGGATTCACCTATTCTGTAATACATATTGTAGATAGAACATTTTTTTTTTACAGAACAATTGCCTTTGAGCATTCTTGCTGAAGTGTTTTTTTAACAAAGGACATACACAAGTGTTCATTTACAGACTTCAGAACTAGTTTTATAGATGTTTTTCTATTTTTCAAAAACTATCAAACTAAGTATAAAATAAATACTAGACAATTTATCCACTTATCGCTTTAATCTTAGCAGGAAAATCTTTCACTTGCTAAAACCAGTTTTCCCACTTAAATTTTACTAGAGAGAATGATGATTCTAAGGTAGGATCAAATAGCATCACTAACTAAAGAAAAGGTAAATGGACTCTATTGCAGTAAAGAATACAAAAATAAGGAATGAAATCACTGGTACGCAACATATTTAAACAGCAAACTTTAAATTGCAGCCCTTGAGAAAAGTTTTGTTAAAACATTTATTTGAAAACCTTGAAAATGGGTACTTCAAACTGTTCCTGAGAAGCATGCCCTTGCTGGAAAGAAGACAGGTGTCATGCCATGCTACTTTTGGAGACTGTCACTAGTTAAGGCTGGGCCGGTGCTTAAAGCGGGTGGCAGATGCTCTCTGTTAGCCCCTTCCTTTCCCAGAAGGGGAAGGAGAGGAGAAAAGGGAGAGAGACTGGCGGGGTGGAACTTAAAACAAACTTTAATAAAGCAATAACAATGAAAAGGAGTATAAATAATATTAAAACTAGTACTACTAATAATAGAAATATACAAAACCAATATTGATCTTCCCAATGATGACCGCGGGATCACATGCCACACCGAGCCGGCTTGCAGTGCTCATAGGGCAGGGCAGGCACCCAGATGTCCCAGACTGGACTCCACAGGAGACAGGAACCGGATTCAGGGATGCACTGATCAGGGTTGGAGGCAGGAGAGCAAGCAGAGTCCCACCAGGATGCTGGCCGTGAAGGAAAGAGAGCCTTGACCCCTGTGATCCCTGAGCTTCATATCAAGTATTCACATGGGTGGAATGGAATACTGCCTTGGTCAGTCCTGGGTCACCCGTCCCCTCTGCAGCTTCCTGGGGGTGAGACCCCTCCTCCTCCTTCCCCTCATGAGGAGCCCAGCGGAGCCCAAAAAAGCCCGCAGGGAACAAGCACCCACCGAGAGGGCTGACCCCCATGATCCCCAAGTTTTATACCGAGTATTCCCGTGGGTGGGATGGAATACGGCGTTGGTCAGGCCTGGGTCACCGGTCCCATCTGCAGCTTCCTGCGGGTGCGACCCTTTTCCGCCTTCCCTCGACGCGGAGCAAGCACCTCCACAGGGAACCAGCACCCACCCGTGGGCCTTTCTGCACAACAATTCTGCTCCTGCCCCAGCAACACCTACAGACATGAACCGCCATCAGCTCTGAAAGCAGGCACTGCCTGTAACCTGTAGTCATCTTCAGACAGTGCAGTTACTAAAACACTTAACTGAAGGAAAAAAAATCTACTGAAAGCAAAAAAAGTCCTGTTTTAGCCAAACCAAGACAGAGACACATGGCAAGCCTATCAAGGGAAGTTCTTATTCTCCTCTACTCAGTAGTTGTGAGGCTGCACTTGAACTGCTGTGCCTGGTTTTGGTCCTCACAGTGCAGTAAGGATGTTGAGATTCTGGACGGGCTTCGGCAAAGGGCTACCAAGATGGTCAGATGCCTAAGAGGCGGCACTGAAGAAGCTGGGTTTCCTTAGTCTGGCAAAGAGGAGGCTATGGAGAACCCTAATAGCAACCAACAATGACTGAAGGGGGAGTGAAAAACATGGCAGAGCCAAACTCCTCTCAGTATCGGCAAAGAGTATAACAAGGGTTAATGGTCACAAATTTTGGCCTGGCAGGAAAAACTACACTAGAAAGGCAGTGCAACACCAGAGCAAATTGGCAAGGGAAGGGATGAAGTCATTTCCATGGAGATTTTCAGGACTCCCTCAGACAAACCTACAGCAGACCTGATCTAATGATGGCAATAATCCCACTTTGAGTGGGAGGCTGAACTAGATGACCTCCAGAGGTCTCTTCCAGCTAAGACATCTCTAGTTTTTTTCAAATGAAGTAAGAATGTATTAGTAGTTTTCAAAATATTGTATGTTAGCTGGAATAGTTAAAATTGCGTTCCCTTCAGCCACTTCCCCTCTCAGATTCTTGCATGCTTTTCTTCAAATGCCAATGGCAAGCCACGTGCAAGAGGTGTCTGTGCCTGTTCTGCACCAACCAGAAATTTTACTAGACCCTGCCTGATCCAATAGAAAAAAGGGTCTGGAAAGGAGTAGAGAACCTCCATACAAATCAATGGACTTTAAAAAAATACTATGTTTTTGTCTTTTTGTCATGAAACTCGGAAATTACTAGACCAAGAAGTACACAAGATTTACTTAAGTCTATTAATTAGAATGAGGATAACCAATTAAACTGCTACTTCATAGAAGATCCAACAAATCTTACTCAGAACAGCTTTTTCTAATATTTTTCCTAGATTCTCTTCACTATCACCTGGGGACTTGTCCAGATAGTTCTCACTTCCTAGTTGGGAGCTATGGCATTTTCCACACTGAAGGGGGGCGGAAAATTAAACTACAGAGGGAACACATCTGTCAAGTTTGGGTCACAGATCTAGAAGTAAGATAAATGAAAGGTTTTTCTGTAACAAGGACTTGTACTGCATATTCCTCTTCGCAGCTTTTTAAGCCTCTTTTTAAGTCATAATTGGTATCACACGCTCCCTGCAACATACCAATTTTATAATTTTCTTAGGGTGGTTCCTGTTTCATTCTTTATTAGTGAATCTAGATGTTTTACCAATTTCAGTCTAACTACTCTTCTAACCTCCCCAGGTTTTTTGTCATTTATATTCAATGTGACACTCACTTGTATACTTTAAATTCTTAAAAATAAGCAAACTCATAAATATGGATGATCCTCCTAGCATATTAAAATAATAATAATAAAAAAATTAATCTGTCTCAAAAGTATACAAGCGGAAAAATGATCACTTCATGGCCACAGCTATGCCATATGACACAGGAGAACACTGCATAATGGTTCATATCAACAGGCATTATCCTAACTTCCCTGGCCTAGGTAACATGCTAGGTTATCTCATGGGAGAAGGTCTGTAATTGGGAAGAAATTCACCCTTTTAATGCACAGCATCATAGTTTGTTTCCTGCATCAGGAATCCATGAACCAAATGATCATTTTACAGGCCTGTAAGATGCCAGTGCTGCAGGAGAGTAGAGCAAAACAAAAAGCACAGTCTCATAAGTCTGCACCTGACTCACAAAAAGATACCGTTACACCTTTATTTAAGAGTATAATTTCTGAATGTGCACAGTATTGTTAAGAACATATTCACAATAATTATTTTAATAAAAACTGCTAGAAACTCACCAAGTGTTTCAAGGCATTAGAAAGCAGTTGTCTCCCAGCTGGCTTATCGAAATCAGCAATAATCCAGATAGTAACAGCATATAATGCATCTTCGTCTGAAAATTAAAGATTATTCTGCTTTACATTCTAGAGAATTTTCTCACTAATAATGAATAATGAATTCATTCTATTTGAGATTTTGAAGTTTCTGTGTATGTTTGACTGCTCACTTCAACTGTAAGACTAATTTTTGCCACATCACAATCTTTTGGTCTCTGAATTGAAATAAAATTCTTAGGAGGTAATTTATTATGTTAATATGACAGAGTCACTAAAAGAGCCAATCTGTGGTTGTACCACTGAAACAAGAGGGCCCTAAATAATAAGCTAGCTCCAATTAACAAGACCTGCTTTACCAGAGGTTTCTTGTGAACATTTGATGGAGGCTGGTCATATAGCCGGAATAGTTACAAGCCAATAGTCACAAGAATGCATGAGTTAGGCCGTTCACTTTCCCCAGCAGCAAAGGGAGAGTCCTTCAACCAAAGGCAGGACAAAACTTACCATTTCTGGACACAAATGGCAATATACCAAATACATTCCAAAGAAAGTAAACTATTGTATAGGTGTATATGCAGAAAATTTCCCTTTTTGTTAGTCTATAGCCTTCTGGTTTTTATTCTTCACAGAAGGGCAATGGTACATGAAAAATTCTGCAAAATTACCTGTAGAAGAATATCAGTCTGCTCAGGTCTATCATATATCCCCTAAAGGGTAATACATATAGACAGGAATTTTACAAGGTTCTGGTTAGATTCTAGGAAGAGGTTATTACTAAGTGTTGTTGTGGTCTAGAGAAACATACTGGGGACAAAGACTTGAAATGTAGATTCCATCTTCAAGGTTATAGGTCTTACACAAGAGATCTGAATCTTAGAAACAAACTTAGACTGAAAGCCAGTCATCATTTGACAACTACCTGAGATATCCTTGTGGTTGTAGACAGAGAATCAAATAGAGTCAGATAATTTTATTCTAAAGAAATGTAAGTATATGGCATTTCTTTCTGATAATGGAATAAGTAAAAACTGTTAATACCGCATAAAAATTACTGGAAGAATAGCACTTTGTTAACAGGATTATTCTGTCCCTTCATGGATTGACGTAAATGAGCAGTTGTTAACTGTCTACTCCCAGAAGTTAACAAGGTACAGACTACTGCAAAATTCCATGTAGTATTATGCCCCCATTGGTGTAATTGTAATTTCTTCTAACTCCAGGGGAATGTACTCGCATATGCAATAAGAATATTTTACATCAAAAAATATTTTAAATGTTCAAAAACCTCAGTTTTAGCAAGATAAAATGTATAAATGAGTGACAATCCATCAGAATATATATTTTTTCTCTTTTCTACAGAAAGAGAAACCTTCAGATATGAAAATTAAACAATCTAATTAGAGGAAGAATAAAAAGATACCGAATGTTAATAAATAAGAAATAAAATAAATTATTCCTTATATTGTAGAAATGCCTAATTTTGATATAGCTATTACAGAGACTACACATTCATCACTTAATGCTGCAACTAAGAGTCACTTGAAAACTGAATATAGTCTCTTTAATATCTTCAAGTAAAACCATATTAGTATGAAAACTGTTTTCGAAGATGCAAACGTCTTGCAAAGCTTTTTAACTTTATGTTTGTAAAACAAAAAACAACTAGGCACAACATCCATCCCATTTCAAAACTACAATATCTAAAATAACTATCCTGTTAACTATAATTGATGTTTATAATAGGACATGATCTGGCTCCCGAAAGAAGACACTGGGATATTGGGAAATTTATTTACATGGGATCCTTGGAATACTTACTTACTTGGGGTACTTTACTGGCAAATTTCAACAATTTGTAATACATATATATAAAAATATATATATAT